CCATGGACCAGACTAGAGTGTATTGATGTGATTAATGGGAAATCCGCATTAAGGTTTTGGACACTGGAGGAGTCCCGTCTCTACTTGGGTTTAATGCTCTGAAAAAAAGTTGATTCTAGAAATTAATGGATTCCCTTGCGTTGTCTTGACTGCAAGCCCCTGGTATTTTAATTTGTCTCTTTTCTACAAAAATAGATTTGGACATGGATTTGGCATCGGCTGATAAATTTCTGTAATTGGTCTGATGATTAACAACTACAAAGAGACTGTTATGATAGGTTTATTAATGTTAAATCTGTCAGCAGTGTCCTTAACGCAGGTTAGCGTACGGAGTATTTCGTGGTGGGGTGGGGATAGGGGTTGGGGCTCGATTAACACGATCGAAATGTCGTTTTAGGAACTGGCCCCCGTTCCACAAAGTGACTGGACAGTCTACACCAGTCTATCGGCGTTACAATCGTATAAGTGGTTAGGGGCGGTGGGGTAGCCTAATGGTTAAAGCGTTAACTCGCCACGCCAAAGACCCGGGTTCGAATCCCCACATGGGTACAATGTGTGAAGCCCATTTCTGGTGTCCCCCGCCGTGATGTTGCTGGAATATTGCTAAATGCGGCGTAAAACCAAACTCAGTCAGTCAGTATAAGTGGTTAATTCACTTCTATGGACGATGATCCAGTGGAAGACATTGACATGTCTTCCTTGACACTCCAGTAAGTTCATGGACGCGAGCCATTAAACATTGTCATTGTCTAAACAAATGTCGGGGTTAGTATCACTGACATGCGATAACGACTGCGGTAGGAAGTAGAAGTTCATAACATTGACGTGTTTTAACAATAAACTGTATCACTGTCCGAGCCGTGGAACGGCCTATGTTTAGACAGTGCAGAGTCAAAGCTTGCTGGAATAGTCTTGAATAACTATAGAGGTATTCTGCGTAGAACATTATGTAAAACTGTTTATTGACAAATGCGTATGCTCTCTTTACATCAATACAAGCAGTTTTGTGAAGATTTCATGTGTTAACCCTGGATATCCAGCCTACGCCTATTTTCGCGCAGCTTGCTGTTGGGTATTTACAGAATATGTTATCGGTCACTGACTTGCTATTATCCTATACGGCCATTGTTCTGTCACTGGATTTTCTTAACCCATTCCATTGTGTATTGCAACAGAACTGTTTACCTTATCAAATTTGTAATAATAGGATGCCTTGTTATTTTGGAAAGCCGTACTTCACTTAATGTTACTCAGAACCAGTATATTTGTGTTGAATGCTTCTTGTTTTGTGCACTTTTACATGCTATAAAAACATTACATAACTCAAATGTCAAATCGCTAACACGTTCACCCCTTTCGAGAATACATGCTTTCAACACCCGAGATCCATTCACGCAAAGCGTACTGCTAATTTGGGAACCTGTTTTCTTAGATAGCGGAAATAATCTGATCTTATCTTCTTGTGGTTATTACCATCCGGGAAAAATATATTCACTTTCAATGAAACATAGGCAGCCAAGGTTTAAATACAGAGATATGGTTTAATAATATGCACAGCATCGTAAAGTTGGCTAATTGCCGCGTTGAGCTATCTTTCTCCAGCTCCAGCCTTTGGCGTTCATATGTCACAAGACTTGAGGAAAGCTCCTTTATCAGGATGTCAGAGCGTGCGTGTGATATGACGCTTGCTTAGAAACTGTTTGAGCATGGTTACAGCATTCAAGACCTCGGTAAAAATTTCAACGTGATTCATGGTAGGACATTCCATTATCTAACGCACCAGTGACCAAAATGATGTTACCGTGTGTAATTTTTAAGATGAACAATTGACTAGCCTTTGCATGTGTTAATGACTGATGCCGCTGGTGGGCAAAATACTTTCGCCTTTTCGCGTTCATCTTACACATACTCACGACATTATTGGAAATGAACAAGCTCCGCCTTCCGTCGTGTTTTTTATGGATGTGGGAAGGGTTCTTGTAGCAAGACAGTGACTTCACAAAAACATGTACTAATGACGACGTGCATTCAACGACTGACGAAAGTGTAAACCTGGGCAGGAGCATGAGTCACAGACATCACCGGCATCAGCCTCATCATGCTGGATTACAGCCGTCAAGAACACTCACTGTAGTAATTGGATGTCGGGTCTGTGATGCATTACATGTGCAGGGTAGTACACCGGCATGTATTGTGATTATTATAGGACACAATGTTGACATTCGATTTATCAAAAAGGGACCCAAGAGGAAGGAGGGTGAAAAATAATGTCTCGATTCAGCAACCGCGATCCAGAGATTACCCCCAGCAGGCTAGAAAGTTCGGCCGACAAGGATGTTCTCATGTTTGACTATATGTTCTGACTGCATATTCAAGCTCATTCGGCGGAAAGGTACCTGAAGGTCCCGGGCAGATATTTAAAAGTTTCTAGATGTCTCTTGTTTTTTTCAGCAGGGTTTTCTATGCTCCTTTTCTTTTACATTGCATTTCAAACCTCATCATATAAATGTCTGTTACCTCTGGAATCTGGGACAAAGATAACAGCCACCACGGCATTAGCCATTGTGCTTGTTGAAATACAGGGTACATTTATTTACAAATCAAATATATGTACACGTGAGCATTAATTAAGCCCCGTCTAAAACCAACGCAAGTACATATTTTACATACCACATCACGTCATAACGTACCTTACTGGAATGCTCATGTATGTATAGCACGTGATACACATAACAAAAGATGTAGATCACATGCTCTTGTGGTATAAATGTCATAACTACAGCACAGTTTAATGGCAATAGAGAAAAATATCTTTTTTACATGGCAAGTCGTAGACTTTGAGAAAATACACGATGTCAAGTTATCAGCATTAGTGACGACGGATTGTTTCTGTCCTATAATCGGTGCTAACCTAAACATAAACCACACTTGCGAGGAAGCACGTGGTCACCAGATATGAAAAGGAAATGGAGACCGAGTCCGCGATCCTCTGACGAGACTTCAGCAGGAAGTACTGGACACCGTCGTCGTACCACATTTTGATAACCATCTCCTTACTTGTGTTTGATGTTCATGGATGACAACGCTCGACCTCACCGTTTTCGAGCTGTTATTTGCAGAACAATGACATCGAAGCATTGCGCAGCCCCTCCACGGGGAAGATTCTGATGGGGAGAATTCAACGCTGTATTGCCAGTATTATTAGACTGGCAAATGTTATCCATGTGACGGGTCTACGCCAGGTGCTGATGCGGTCACCGGTGGTGGTCGTTACAGTCAACCAATGGTTATATGAGAAGCGTGTGATAATCAGATTGGTGACGTAATCATGGTGACCATACATTGCGTCATTGATATTCCTGTTGTTGTTTTTGAGTGTGTCTATTCCTCACAGATTGCAAAGAAACTCCTTTTATTTGCTTTCAAGGCATTTGAACAACATAAAGTGTTTTCGTACTTATCATGTCAAAATGTGGGTGGTGCCTGATTAATGCTCATGAATTTAGTTTCCCATGTTAATTTCTCAATGAAACAGTTTGACAAATAATGATCAATGCTAATGAATGCGAACAACTGACGCTGCTAACATGATTGACTCGTCTCAGCAGTGTGTAGACTCCGTCAAAGAAATCATTAGTTCATGTTCATAAAGAAAAGTTTCTATGCAAGGTAAGCTTTGAAGCAAAAATAGAACTGTGGTGTGATGTTGAACAATATGGAAATACCTAATTAATTATTAATGCCAAATATGATTTCTAAGGCAGCAAATTATGTTCCAAAAACGGTGTCAACACAAGTTGTCACGGAAATAAATGGGCAATCCAAGTCATATAAATGTTTTTGTTGTGCTTTATGCATTCTCATGTATGCAAGCCCAGGATAACTAACACCTTGTCGGGGCTCAATTCTCGTCTTCAAAACATCAACCATATGTTCTTATTACAGGAAACTGCTACTGAAGTGTTGTCAAGTAACTGCCAACAATATAGTCATAAATATACCTGGAGGTTATATGTAGGTAATCAAAGCTAATATGGTAATACTACAGGAAACACATTCTCAAACTAAATGACTAGAACATAATATTTTCCTTAAGAAAACATACTTAAACCAAAGCACATACCAACCGGGCAATGTTCTGTTAGAGTGTCGACTCAACGCTGTAGATATGCAGCTGCCACACATGATAAGTGCCGTTTAATATGTTGTTGTGCGCTTTTCTCAACATCATGAGATAGGTTATGCTGTGAGGTTTTATCTCCATACACTTACACTGATATTTCATTATGAATGGGACATTATTTAAAACGAATAAAACAGATAAAGGAGGAATACATGAACATTATTTCACAATCTAACCGCACCATGTGCTGTATTTTGTGCAAAAAACAGTTCTTCAAGTGCATGGGAATAGCTGTGATTCCCTGTGCAGGCCTTCTGATTGGGTTGGTTGGTTGGATTTGTTAACACCGCACTCACCAATATTCCAGCTTTATGTCGGCGGTCTGTAAATAATCGAATCTGAGACCAGATAATTCAGTGATACCCGAATCGTGACAACCTTTAATATATGTGCTTTGTGGCTGGTTGGTTAGCTTTTGTCCTGAGGGCACCGAAATACAAAACTTGTGATGCAAGTGACTTTCTACATACTTGTAACAGAGCATTACCCGTGCATATTTACCGGTGGCATGTAGAATGACAGAATGAACTAATTGGAGAATGATATTCAGTGATATCCGGATTCCGCTCCGTCCAAACAATTACGTTTGATATAACAAGCGGCCTTGTCAAGATACATGCTGGTTTAAAGTGGCTGTAGCCCTGCTTATGAAGCATGTCTTGAAACGGTTCATGTTCCAAGCTGACCTTTATCGTTGTAATTATATTTACATTTTTCCCTTCGCATTCGGCATTTATGTCACAGCTTTGCAGACACGTTCCATATCATACCTTCACACGGATAAATCATCACTCATGTTCTTGTGTTTCCTTTGCAGATATCTGACAAAAGCTTAACCCTGCAGAGGAGTCAGGGGAATATATGATGAGCCAAAAGGACGAAATGAAGCGTTTACAGTGTCTTCAGATGGAGGACAAAGCACATGTGCTCCAGGATGAAGAAGGTCTGGATTCGGGGGGAACCCGACAAGAAGGGAGTTAAGAACTTGCTCATCTACTATGCTCGCCATTCTACCATGCACGGTATCCCTTCTATCGTCGGGTCGCGCCTATACAAGGGACGCAGGTAAGAATGCGAGATCTCATTAGATTGAAGGAAGCCTATGAGGGCGATCGGGTTTTATTTCTCTCATGGGCATTGTGTTTCTCATTTCTGGCGACCACGCTTTGACATAAGTGGACATGTGCTAGAAGCAGAGGGAAACCACTTCGAAACTTAAGTTATTTTGTATCGATGTATCAAAGGCATTGGCTGATAACAACGAGTACCAACCACAATGATGAATATAACATGTAGGTAGTTTACATGTTGGTGTTGACCTTCATGAGGCTAGTTTTCATTTGAACCGAACACATCAATATGGCTACACTATTGAAATTTCGCAGTGATCACAGTCAACTAATGTCACAAGCAATATTCATCCCTCACACATAATCCCAACTATTTAAACACAATGTAGGCCAAACGCGTGTATTAAATATTAATATAACCCTCCATAAACTGTGGCAATTCACTCAGAAGTTTGTGACACACAATGGAACTTTATACACACAGCGCACGATATTTGCCGAGATTATTTCCGGATCACTGTGAACGCTGTGGTGTATGATCGATCCTGTGCTGCTTATGACTTTAACTTCCAGATGTTTCGGTTATATTACTTTTTCTATCTGTCTTACTAAAGGCGTGATGTCCTCAAAATTCTCCTTTTCCGGCTTATCTCCAAAATGATTGAAAATATTTCAGGCGTCGCGGTCCCCTGTTGCCTCCCCTGTTGGATAACATCTGCTAGAAAGATGATCACGCTATCACCCTTTGACTGGTGTCGGTGTTATTACTGTCAGAGGTCTCGGCAAACCTAGAAACACACAATCAGCTTTTATCCGCAGACAGTGCATTCCCGATACGATACGTTATTGCAACAATAAACGAGACAAGTCTACCATTTGGAATGTATTGGCCAAACATTTCTTATATCGTGTGATGATAGTCCAGCAATAACCACGCTGGAACCAGACGCGGAGTGAACCACACAGGGAATTACCACATATACATAAATGTATTTTCTACAGAAGCGAATACCATTAAAAACACTTCTGAAATACCCAGGTTTCCAGGCCAAACCCCATGTCGAAAACACCATTAATGACAGTGATGTATTTGGAGCCGGCTGGACGCAATGCTGTGTATGTGTGAATCCAATTTGGTGTGTAAAACTAGTAGCGCACGAGGCTGCAAGCGTAGACTCAGAGTAACTTAAGTTTACTTAGCAGTTTGTAAATTGTTTTATATCTGGAGCGACAAAGGGCAACATGATGAACTTTTTCTTCCCGGGTGAAATTTGTTTGAATGTATGGCGCCAACGTCGCCATGTGTTGTGCGTGACAAAATTCACGTCAGCATGTGCATCAAGTTTGTGTGAACGGCGCCTGCGTGTTTTCTGAGGAGCAATCAAATGCGCGTTGAGCTATCGTGTGAGTAGGGGCCAGTGTCATTGTGGAGGCAGTTTCACGTGGTGTGTTGAAACATTAGACTCACTGTGTTCACCTCACATGTGTTATTTACTTACCCACTCTGTGACAATAAGCTCCAGAAAAAACATTGTTTATTTATGTGGCAAAGACACGGTTTCCTTTAAACAGAGCGAGAATGCGTCTTCGAGTTATGTGGTCCTACAGTGATATAGGACTGTGTGTGTGCGTGGCGTGTTGAAACATGTGACTCACTGACACGTTTTATTTGTATACCCTTTCTACTATGTGATATGCAAAGCAAACATGATATTATGTATAGATTGTAGTAATTAGAATCGCTTGCGTGGAGAATACGTTAAGTACGTTAGACTGTCTTGTAGCACATCAGTGTAGATACACTGTGCGCTTACAGGGACACCTGAAATGAAACTCAGTTGGCAAAACCCGGGTGAAACATCCGGTGATCCCCAGGGAGTTGAGATTGATAATACGACGTGTCGTTGAGATTGACATCTAGTTATCGAGGGAAAATCAAAGCGCCTTTGAGCAGCTGAGCTGGATATCGGGGCTATATAAATGTATGTAAAACCATACCCCGGCCTTTGTAGTGACGAGCGGACGCTTTAACCACAGGACTATCCCGTCGCCTGCTCTGAAATTCGCATTATGTGTCTTAAGTTACAGGAACAGAGTACGTGTACTACGCCAGATGCCTAATGCGTCCATCGATGCATTTAATAAAAAATAATTCGTGGATGCGTAGAGACTAACTAATCCTACTGGATGAATCTACGATCACATGATATTATGAGAATTATAAATGTGTTTTTATCCTTAATGGGACCTTTTATATTCAAATTTTATGACAAATGTCCTCAGTGATCCCTTGTCAAAGTGACTCCTTTGTCAGTTTTAACACTTCTCTAAATTAGAACTAGCGCAAAACGCTGAACACCAGTCAGTCAAATGTCTCTCATATACCAGGATCAAATACATTGACTACGCAATCAGAGTGGTGCTGTGTTAAGGCCTTCGTGATAGTTATATATCCCTATTGAGCTTTTAATATCTCGTAATCAGGAGATCAAGTTCCATCCTGTCGCATATTCATTCACGTCGTATACACCCAGGAGGCAGCCTACAGCTCTGTCTTGTCTGGTGACATTTTTTAGATGAATGTCTACGCCAATAACATCCAGCTTAGATTAACATGAGATCCGGAAGATGGTTTCTGATGAGAACTGGCCAGTAGCAGCCACTGTTAATGATCCGTCAGCATATGTAATTGATCATTTTAAAGACACCATAGCAAGTGCTAAGCATTGTTAACGACGGCTGGAAGGAATTCATGTCATGCCTGCAGGTAGTTCCGTGATGGTAAACAACAGTGTTAGACTGATGATCAGGCTGAGGAGAAGTACGCTGCTCGTGATGAGATCAGCTGGAGCATCAGCAATGTATCAGATATATGACATTTTCCACTCAATATGAAAATGAAACACAAAGTGCATCAGTTAATCATCGTACATATGTGTGAGTGGAACTGGGTAAGTTTCAAAGTTCATAAAGACTCTTATACTCGAAACTGCGCATGCCTACTCTCCCCATTGTCATGGACAGCGACACTGTACTGCCTTGGAGGCAAGTATTCGGATGGGTGAGGCTGTTTTATGTCGCCTTAAACAATACTCCTGTAACACTACATCGAGGACACCACTTCACACATTACATGTATTCCTAGGCGTGTACCGTGTTGGGAAGCGAACCCTGGTCTTCGGGATGATGACCGAAGGCTTGACCATGAACTGCGGTCTGCGGGACCATCTCCGGTAATGAGCAACTACTGTAGAGTAATATAATCAGGAGGTGTTAAGGAGCCACTGTCAGGCGCGTAGCAAGCCATTTTTTTCGTGTTAGTCCGATAGGTTGCAAAGCTTTATATTTAGTATTGAGGGCTTGTCCGGCCTTGTTAACAACAATCATGGATGGGTAAGCCCGGGCTATTTTCATAATGGTAGATACGCCCCTGACTGTTGAAATCATCGGCTCATCCTGACATGAATCAGGGGTTGTCTAGCCGCTTGGTACTATATGCGATACCACTGAACATACCCCGTCACGAAACTGTCCCTCAATACTGAGGGACACCTACCGCATGAGCACAAACTAGCTTCCCTGAATATATATTCACAGAGTGATTGTAAGGCTGTACCACCAGCTGCTCCTCGACAACCAGACTTAAAACAACGAGGCTAATGAACATAAACATAGAAGTGTAATTAAATCGGTGTCTCAGAATATTGAAACAGAACCCGCTGTATAATCATTCTTGGACACAGCATCCTAATGAGACACAGTGTGTGTAACCTCCGTCCTGTATTTCTGAAGGCGCATACCGCTCAAGGCTGCTTTCTCGTTCTGTTTAATGGTGGCTATGCCACACTAATGAACGCATTTAGACAGTGTGTTTCCTGGAACCGGTTGTCACAGAGTTGGTAAACATGACAGAGTGTAACATTCACTGTGTCGTTGGTCGTACAATACAGGGAATCCAAGCCTGTTTTCCTATGTACGAAACTGTGACAGTGGTAAACCATACATAGAAGGACAATTCTAAGCAAAGCTAAAAAGAGGGCCACGATGGTCCAGTAGAAACTTCATTTCGAAAACGACGGTGACGTTGTTGTATGTGGAGCTGGTTTGACACAGTATCTGTGTGTGTGGAAGCGGTGTGACTGTTTCGTGTGTAAAGCTAGCGCCGCAGTATTACACGCGTGGAACCAGCACAACACAGGCACATTTTCGGAGGTTCGGGAATGTCTTTGCAAAATGGTTATATATTGGAGTAACAAGGTGTGGTGTGTTGGTTAGAGCCAGAGTGGCAATGTGATGGACGTTTGGTCCCCGCGTGAAACAGGTTTGAATGCATGGAGCCAACGTGATCATGCATCAATAGCCACGTTAACGTCAGTGTTGTGTGTGCCGAGCCAGGGCGTCAGTGTTGTGTGCCGAGCCAGGGCGTCAGTGTTGTGTGCCGAGCCAGGGCGTCAGTGTTGAGTGTGCCGAGCCAGGGTGTCAGTATCGTGTGTGCCGAGCCAGGGTGTCAGTGTTGTGTGTGCCGAGCCAGGGTGTCAGTATCGTGTGTGCCGAGCCAGGGCGTCAGTGTTGAGTGTGCCGAGCCAGGGTGTCAGTGTTGAGTGTGCCGAGCCAGGGCGTCAGTGTTGTGTGTGCCGAGCCAGGGTGTCAGTGTTGAGTGTGCCGAGCCAGGGCGTCAGTGTTGAGTGTGCCGAGCCAGGGCGTCAGTGTTGTGTGTGCCGAGCCAGGGCGTCAGTGTTGAGTGTGCCGAGCCAGGGTGTCAGTATCGTGTGTGCCGAGCCAGGGTGTCAGTGTTGTGTGTGCCGAGCCAGGGTGTCAGTCAGTGCCGAGCCAGGGTGTCAGTGTTGTGTGCCGAGCCAGGGTGTCAGTATTGTGTGTGCCGAGCCAGGGTGTCAGTGTTGAGTGTGCCGAGCCAGGGTGTCAGTATTGTGTGTGCCGAGCCAGGGTGTCAGTGTTGTGTGTGCCGAGCCAGGGCGTCAGTGTTGTGTGCCGAGC